TTCGCTGGTGTATATAGTTTTTACATTAAAGGTTTTTTATGTATGAGTAGATCTTGTTGACTTAAGCTTCTGATGATAATGTTGGTTCCACAAGCTTAATACAACTTTGTCAATACAATGGATTTTTGTCTTTATGATGGATCATGTGAAACAGTAATATTACACGATGGTTAAGCACACAGAAAAACCAACACAACTAATTAAGAATGAAATATTAGTCTTGAGTAGTATATCTTGCTAGAGGAGTCCATGTAGACATATCTCCCTGCAATTTCCTGATTTCCTAGTAAGCATGAACAAGATTAGTTTCAATAAAGAAAGCTCATAGAGCAAGACAAGTTTCTAGCTACGTGTTTGGTGGAGCATATGCATACCTTTAGACTGGCGAGGCGCCTCATGGCTTTACAAGACTTCAACATAGAGAGGGAGCTTATCCAAAGGTTTCAAGACTGCGACATTACTGCGATCTGGATTCATGTACTTCTCATAAGTGACCCGTAGTTTTCCTGTTTTAGCAGCTTTATGGAACCTTAGGATCATCTCTGAACAATCCCTGTGATAAGAAATTGTGTAAGATTAGTTAAACAATGTAGTTAGTCTAACTGATCTGCAATGAGTGATTAAAAATACGGTTACTTCATCTGTGAGATACTGTAGTGGGTATGGTTTTTAAGGAGCGAGGTCCAAACTGGAGTTGCATGTAAAGTGCAGCGGGCAACATAGATGGCTGATGCGCATAGCAACGAAGGCTTGAACTTCAAAGCTTCGTACTCAACCAAGCACAACTCGATAAGGTAAAAGGAGAGTTGTTCCAACTGATAAAAGAAGAAAAAAAATAGTAGTATTCAATGTCTACCTAATCAAAAACAAGTTGATTTGATTGGTTATGTAGCATTTAGATGCAAGTTTTTGGCGCACCTTCTTGTTTGATTGAGCAGCTTTTAAGAACCTCAACATGAAAACGTAAGAGGTGGGTGCATTCAAACGGAACTTTAACTGTTTAAGCATTATCCTCTCCTGAGAATAAATAAACAACAAGGGGAAGTAATCACACAACTAAATATTGTCAAAACGGATAGAAAACTTGATTACAAACATAGTAGATTTCATTCATACCATTCCCAGGATTTGTTCTCTAGTGTATGATTCTGCAGAGATGCTTATCAAGTCTTTGATCTGGACATAGACAATAAGATTTTGGAAATTTTGAGTTTGAAACCATATGGAGCTGAGGATATATCAACTTGAACCATAAGTGTCACTTACCCTTGGATGCCAATAGTCCTCGTATTTAGAAGCCAATAAGAGCGCGGTAAGACCAATCAATTGCATCTCATTTTTCTGTACTGGAACTTGGGAGAGATAACGGTCCAGTAAGTCTATTGTAAGGTAGAGAGTCTCATGCATTAGATCAAATTTGAAATGAACCTGCAAACAAATAGTCAACACCAAGAAATATGATTCTACAGGGAGAAGAAAAGGTTTGAATATGGAAAATATCAAAAGATGAAATGGAAACCAAAAAAATACTGTACTCACTTCAACAAGCCAGTTGATCAAAATTCCACGAGTAACTGGACTAACTTCTGTTTGAGCTGATAAGTAGTGTCCTAAAGCTGGATTTAATGCCTGCAACAACATTCCAAGTTAAAGCTACTGAAAAGCTTAAATTCATCTTGTGAAATTGATCCAAAATTCAAAACTAAAAAGAAATAAGAAAAACCAAATATAAGGGAAAGTGAGGTTGTATGCATGCGGAAAAACAAGTACCTCAGCAGTCCAATAGAACTGATATATGTCATCCACGTATTCTGCAACTTCTAGTTGATTGGACTTATCATCAATGTTGGGAATTTTTGCTGGCTTTGCATTATCACCATTTTCGTCATCGAACTGCAACAAAAGTTACAAAATTAGCGGAAATGGGAAATACATGTCACCAGGAACATGATTAGTTAGTAGAATTGTGAACCTTTGATCCTGTCACAAGTAGAGATGTGAAAGACTTTCTACGCTTTGATTTTGGCTTTGCTGTAACATCCAACACTTTTGTAGTTGGGTCTATGTTTCCATTAGATGAACTCTCTCCTTGAGTATCTTCTTTGACATCTTCTGGTTCAACTTTTTCCGGAAGTAACAGAACTGAAGTTTCTTCAGAGGAAGGGATTGAAGAGATAGATCTTGATTTACTTCTAGCCACCGGGGGCTTCTTAAGAGAACTATGGTTTTGTAGTGAGGTCTTCACAGTTGTCTGGATCATGAGTGAGAAAAAAGCTTATCAATACAGTCCACTGATGAAGCAAAATATGAAAGTGAAGCTTAAGAATAACAAGAGAAATTAAGCTTCAATAGTGTTGGCTTCACCATTTGCATACAAAGATAAGAAAGGAACAAAGGTACATACCTTGATAGATTTCCTTGCGATATGAATGTGCTTCATACTCTGGCTTTTGCAGTCCCTGACCATGCAAAGAACATGAAATTAGCAGAGTATATTCCAGGCTGCTGGCAATAAACAATAAATAAACATTTTCTGGCTCTCAAAGATGTGAAACAATTATACCCCTTTTAACTCAACTAAGTTGTACATTAATAATGAAAATGCAAAAAATGATTCTGTGAATGGACAAAGAATTTTGGATTGTTGCATGTATTTGTGTGCTACACAAAAGAGAACAACAAATTTGCTTCTTTAATGATGATATAAGAAACAAAGCATATTTACTTACGATGGTATAGAACCCACACTTGTCCGAGTTTTCCAAGTAAAGCTACTGGAACTGCTCAGCCGTGGGATGACATTGTTGCTGACTTTACTGGCTGAAACGGTGCAACCTCACTCATCAGTACTGAACCAATCAAGTTACAGCCATTACATGTTCAAAATTCAGAAAACAAAATCCATGTTACCTGGACCTTGACCCAGTTGTCTCGAATCCAATCCTGAGACATTGTCCTGCACGCGCACACACACAAAAAAAAAAAAATAATAACCAGAATCAATGACAGTGACTAGAGTCATGTCGAATTAAGTAAAATATCCGAAATGATTAGCGTCACGAATTGTTGTGTGACCACCTAATTGTTAGACATAAAGAGTGTCAAAGTATATTGAAAAACAACCTTCTTTAGGCTCTTATCTGTAAGACTGGTTCTCTTTAAACCCGGTATGGATTTTCTGCAAGAACAAACCAATCAAGAAAATTAATCAATGAAAGATGTAGAATTATTCTCAACATATTTCTAACGAAACCCTCTCGGATAATTCTACAAACAAGACTAGAAGGGGCTATTCTACTAGGCATGAGATTAGCATAAAAGGTACCTTATTCCACTAGCAGTTGCTCCAAGGCTCAAAGTCTTATTTTTGATGAATTTGTTTCCAACGTCGGTTGTGTTTTTACTCCCGAGCTCCTATATCAAAAGAAAAAGTAGAATCTAAGTCCTGGAAGAAAAATGAAGGAAGAAGCGATAAGGTAGTTTGATTAATGAAATTCATGCTTTAAGATGCAACGTTTATGACATTTTCTTTAACTCATATCTGTTTAATATTATAACTTCCTGCATCTAGTCATGGTAATTTGCAAGTATATGGCTTGAATATAGTTTGCCAATATGGTTGTTGTACCTTAGTAGATTTTTTGGATGAAAGATCACGAATTCTTGTAGAACCAACTGAAATCCTACACATGGAAAGGTCAATAAATATTTTATCATCAACTCATTGTCATAAAATCAGATAGTTGTAATAGTGCGAATTCGATCTATGAGAGCTCATTTTTACAAGAGGAAAGTTGACAGACAAAAGGGCATCAGAAACAATTGCTTTGATATCTTAGAAAAATATGTCTAATGCAGAGGAACTACTAATCCCAATGTAGAGATGTAACAGTACTCTAGGTAAGTGATCTGATCTCTATAAGCAGCAGCTAACGATTACTACATACCTTTGAGAATTTGCACACTTTACACCTTTCCATTTCCTGCATTGTCGCGCATTCAATAAAATAGCTTTAGAACAGAACATAAATCAAGAAATAGAAACTAATTAAAAAGCTTAAATCAGTTAGACAATGGGAAATTTTAAGGAAATTTACGTAGTGCTGCCACCAAGCGTTGGAATCCTTTGAGTGTTCCCACCAAGATTACTTAAATCAGCCAACGCTTTTCTAGTGAACTTAGTATATTCCTCTGAAAAGAAGGAGACAAAAAATTTGAGTAAACTCTCAAAACTACATCCCAAATCTATAATGAGACACTCTTCGGTATAGGCTTACCAGAATTTTCATTACTACTTTTGCCCTTGCTTGCGATTCTCGAATTCTGTTTCGTTCCAGGCTAAACACACAAAATGCATTTCATGTTATATAAAATGCATAAGATTCAACATTTCTATGAACCAAGAAAGATAGAAAATGAGAAACCTTCATATAGTTTGTGTTAGAAGTTGCTCCACTGCCAATTGTCACAGATTTTCTCCTAAAATGTTTGTAAAAGCATAATATTAACTTCTTAAAGTTTGTAAAATCTAATTCTTAATGATCAAACCAAGTATGCACCAAGTAAATTTCATCATTTATTGGATGTGATAAGAGACATGAAAATTGTAAAACAACACAACATACCTCAAAGGAATACGAGTCTTCTGTGTAGCACCTCTGCAAAAATGGCAACATTATAATTCATATTAACAAATGAAAAAAATACTGAAAGACGAATGCAAGAGAATGCACTTACACTATACAAGCCGGATCAGTTTTCTGATTATCGGAGTAGATCTTGAAACTCCTAGTTCCCGCTGTTTCAGAAGCAAACATTTTCTTAAGAAATGAACCATTTATTTAAAACTGAATATGATTCTCACCAAGCAAAAGTAAACAAAATGACTCCCTTACCTCGATTTCCAAGAATATCATCTCTACTTAGTCGTGGTGCCTACAAACAAACAAAAAAAAAGTAATCCAAAGTAAGTGAAATAAGAACTAATACTCTTATCACATGTGAATTTTAAAGAACATGTTAGTCAAATAACCAAATCTGAGAGTAGCAGTAAGCTACGAATATCACAAGAATTTAATCTTGCAACTTCCATTTCTTTACCCAAAGGAAGCAAAAGAGGAGGCAAAAACACCAAAGAATCTCTTCAATATGCGAGAAATTGATGATTCCAAATCCTAATCCCGTATTTAAATAATGACAAAGAAGATTAGCGTAATTGTAATCGTGCGAAAACAAGAAACATGCCCTCGATCTCAAACTCATCTGCGAGCAAGGAAATTTAGGATCGACGATAAAATTATTACCTTCGCAAACGCCATTTTGTTTTAGCTTAATTCTCCAGATCTTCCGCTTTTTCTTTTCTCAATGAGAGCTTCTACCGTTGCAATTGCAAATTTCCGCTTCTTACATATTTGAAATTGAAATTGATCTTTTTATTTTACGATTATACCCTTGAGTTTTTTACTCAATACTGTTCATCTTTGGGCTAGACTTGTTTAGTAAAGCCCATTTCTACCCAACCCTTAGACAAATCAGGCCCATCAGTGTCATTCGAAAATAGCATTTTTTTTTCTCTAGTTTCAGTTTTTGTGTAAATGCAACCAAATATATCCGGAATACTATATATATTATAAGAAACTCCATAATAGATTCAGAGAAAGAAACCATAAACAGTATAAAGTTCAAAAGCAAAAAAAAGTATATATAATTTACTTTCTGTTGACATAAATAAGTAGATATTTAACATTTAATTGTTGTGTATTATGCTTGTTACTCCAACAAGATTGAAGTATTATAAAGGTGGAGTTGCACCCAAAATGACGTGAGAGAGCTGCAAAATTGAGACAAAATCTGAGTCAAGAACTTGTCATTCGCGCATAAAATATGGGGGTTACACCTTTTAGTCACTTCACTTGCCTGGGAGATGCACCTTTTGGTTCTAATCACGATAAGGCGTGAGATCGATTTGGAACGGCTGTTTTCCCTTTGTGACACTCTGCAAAAAAAAAAATGTCTTAAGAGCCAAAGTTTACGACAAATGGAAACATATTGTAGTTTGTGGGATGATGAAAAGAGCTTACCGCGATTGCTATGAGCTCTTCTAACAGTTCTTCTATATGGCGCAGAGGCTATGAAAACGGGGAAAGATGACTAAGAATGAGAAGATAAATGGTCTGAAAAAGTGAATACTGAATACGCATTGCCTTTCAAAACTTACCCATTGTGTTGGACCATCAACTGGTGCACTTAAAGGATCATCATGCACCTAATTCACCAGAAAATGATACCAGTTTCATAACCAAATTTGATAAAAGTGCCAAAGAAATGATTAAAAAAGTGCCATGAACTTGAAAGAAATATTGATACCTCCATGAAAATTCCATCGACACCAACAGCTACAGCGGTTCTTGCTATGCATGGTATTAATTCGCGAAGGCCTCCACTAGCAACACCTCCACCGTCCAACTATATAAAGAGGGTATGCTTGTGTTAAGACTTAAAATTCATTTGAGATTTAGGTTTAACGGAAGGGGCAATAGTTCTCAGTAACCACTAAGCAATTCATAAATTTCTCGGGGGATATTGGCTAATGATCATACCTTCTTGCCTGCAGGTTGTTGTAGTGAGTGAGTTATATCAGCTACCTGTAAAACACCAAATTAAACCGAAACCAAGATATAAACTCCTGTAAACAAAAGAAGCAAGATTTACTTACAACGGGACAGTTAGCTTCTCTCATCCATTCCAAATTTCGTGGATCTACTACTAAATCATCTGATACACAAAATCAAATAGTAAGGACACTCGGGAATTTTTTTTTTTTATTTAAAGACATTCAGTGTGGCTTTCAGTCTATCTTAGTCCCACAATATATGCATAAATTTGACAAATATCTACATGTTCATTCACGCTGCCAATTCTATTAACACAAAGAACACACTACAGCGCGGTTTGGGGATCCTGAATCTGAAAAAGATATGTTCACTCACTGTATCCAAACATGGTTCCTCTTTCACAAACCATCACATTTGGATTCCCAGCGAGTCTAATCTTCTCAGCCGAGTTTGCCATGACCTTAAAAATGGATTATACATGAAGTCACTCACTACTATATAACAGGGAAAAAAAATGTTTGGCAAGATCAAAACAAGTCAGAAGAGATAAACTCACAGAAGGAGCACAAAATTGTCCTTTCTTAATATTGATAATTTTTCCAGTTTGGGCTGCCGCGACCAGAAGATCTGTCTGGAGATAAAGTTAATAGTCAAAAACATGAGTCATGGATATAAATACGCAGAGCAGATGGAATTTGATAGCTAAAAACAAAAGAGTTGAATCCTGCCTGGCGACATAAGAATGCCGGTATCTGAATGATATCTGCAACCTTGCCAACCGCTTCACACTAACAAAGTAAACTAAGCATCAGAAAAGAACAAAGATTTATTGAGCTCGATTCTCTTGATGTAACTAAAACTCAGTATACCTGGCTCGATTCATGAACATCGGTTACAATTGGTAAATCATATGCTACTTTCACCTTCTCAAGAATCTGTAGAGAGAACCAGAAAAGTGGCTACCAGTAGTATACTTACACAGAAATAACATAAAAACAAAATGAAGCCACATCGATACTATTTCTCGTTAATGTAAAGTGGTGTCACAGCCAGTAGCTAATGCAATTGCACAATATTACCAGCACCGGATAGAAAATCATCCACGCTTGCACAGAGAGAAACAGGGAACGATTTATCAAAAGTAAACACGGTGAAAAATTACCTTCAGTCCCTCAGCTATGCCAGGACCTCGGAAGGACTTTGATGAAGTTCTGTTAGCTTTATCGAAACTCGACTTGAAAACCAGAGGCAACCCAAGCCTAAGGCATATCAAAATCAACAAGGAAACATGCATAAGAAAAACCACACTGCTATTGAGCACACAAGATTAGTTCCACCATAATTGAACACTCAAGATCTCAGGAGTACATACTTTGTGGCAATATCTTTTATGTTTTGAGCCATTCGAAGAACATGTTCTTCGGATTCGATCACATTTGGACCAGCCAACAAGAAAAAAGGCTCAGCAACCTACAAAAAACAGTTCACATGCGTATGATAAAACAATTCAATTCACCAACGAAACAACACTCAGCATTGTAAAATATACTCAACCTTGAGCTGATTATACAGTAATGAACATGAATCCGCCATTTAAAGCTCAAGATCAGGAAACCAAAACCTAAAATTTTCGCAACAAACCTTAGACTAGTTCTATAAATCTACGTAAATCACAAAAGAAGAGTTTAGGAATATCTGACCAAAAAGGAAAGTTGCAGTGTGAGTGAAGCCAAAATGGATGCCAATTGCCAATGCCACAGAGGTGATGTTCGGATACACGGATAATATTATCCTCTTAGTGATTCAAAAAACAAAAAAAAATTATTAGAAATACTAAAACCAATCGGTTTGATTCGGGTCAATTTTCCCGGTTACAG